AACTAAAAACAAAGAACTTGCAATAATGTTGAAGAATAAGAGATTGTAAAATCAATCATGGTTGGGTCTTTGTCATTGCAATTTTATTCCACTTTCCCAACTTCTACATGTTCAAAAAAAGGGGGAAAAAAAAAAAACTGTGGGTCAACTCTAACCGATAAGGAAGGAATTGGCTCAACAATCCTTTCCATAACCCAAATTAACCCCAATTCACTCGATCTCCTATCATATTACCCCATCAGACCTAATTATTATTATTTTTAATTTTAAATTACATAATAAAAAATAATTTTTTATTTTTTTAAATTTATTTTATTTACATATTATATAACTTGAATTCAAAATTTTTTATTTTTATTAAAAAAATTATAATTAAATCATTTAAATCATTATCACTTATTTATTTTCGTATCTAATTTAGTTGTGAAATAAAAGATGATAATGTGCATGTGTCAGGACTTTCATTTTCTCCACCAAATTATGTAACTGTTACTCCCAAAATTCTGCTCCACTGTTTTAAAGTATCTATGGCCAATTTCTTATTATTTTTTTGGCCACCAACTAATTCCTCCTGATTAGAACATGTGCAATTATATCAGTTGCACCTTCCCCGCATAACTACGGCTTCCCGCATCACTTTCCTTCCTTGCTGTTCCTTTGCCTAAAGAATTATCCTCATCTTTTTAATTACCAAAAAAAAAGAAGAAATGCAATATCTTCAATCAAAGAGGTCATAATACAGAGAAAATAAAAACGTGGACAATTCGAAGCTGTCTGACGGCTCCTTTGATACTGAGAAAATGGGATTGAGGTTGGAGTCAATTTTATTCATGAAATGGAATCTAATGCTTAATAAGAAAATGAAGTGGAGTGTGATTTGGTGAACTGTATTTTATTTAATTATTGATAAAATAAATAAATCTTTTAGTATTAAAAATTGATCACTTTATTAATAATTAAAAATAACATAATTTGTATAGGATAAACCTACAACCACTCTCAATGTTTTATAATGATTAATGTGTGTTTATATGAACGTGGAATGAATGAGGAAATGAAATTTTGATTATAAACTATTCAAATTTTAATTTAGTATAAGTTATACCGACTGTTGGGAATGAAATGAAAATACTATAGGGGTGTTTGTGTGAACTTTTGAAAATTGTTATTAATTGTTAATTTTAATTAAATAAATTATTAATATTATTTTTATCTTGGTTGCATAATTGATCTTGGTTGCACAATAGAAAACAATAATTTCTCATCTCTTATCCTGCTCCACCCGCATGTCATGTAACTCGAATTTAAAACTTCTTACTTCTAGCAGAAAGAGATGATTATTGAGTTATTTAAGTCGTTGATAAATGAATTAAATATTTTAATTTATAAATAATAATAATAATTAATTATCAGATTTCAACTATCAATTATCAATTATATTAAAAAACTAATTCAAACAGTCCCATAATATTTTTTAGTGTATTGATAATGGGTTATAAAACCCCTTTCTTCTCAGTCTGTTTTCAATTCCTGGTCTGGTGGAACCTATAACATAATAAACTCAAGCGAGCAATTTAACTAAACAAAATTATAAACTCCGATTGATACGATTATTGATTATAGTTTTTTATTTTTATAAATTTCTTAATTTTAACTAAAAAACATATTTACTTTCATGCATTTTGTAACATATTTTTATAATTATTAAAAAAATGAGAATAAAAATAATTTTAATATTGTTAAATTAATAAATATTTTAAATTATTAGTGTTAATTTTTTTTAATTTTTAATTTCAGTTGTTACAAAATTTATAAAAATTAAAAACTATAACTTTTTTACTTGGTATGTAGGTTCAGGGATTCTCAAACTAGTTTTTGCACATATCCATGCAATTTTAAGGGTCACCCTTA